ATTGATAAATATTTTTTCTGGCTATGGAATATTCGATTTAGCAGCAAAGCTTGGGGTTAAATATTTAGATAAGTTGGAAAAAGTAGTTGACTATCAAGCAACCTGTCGGGTTCTGGAATTAATATGGATAGCAGTGGGTGTAGCGATTAATCAATATTTAATTAGCAAAAATGAAAAGATGTGTGATATTGAACATAGTAATAATAATGTATTAAAAGTGTGGTATTGTTATTTTAAATGGGCTGGCTATTGGATCGGTCATAAAATAGGAATTCGAAGAGGCAACTTCGAAATGCAGTTTAAAAATCTTTCAGCTTTTGTGCCATTATTTCCTGTAGCCGAAATTTAATTACACTAAATCTGTAGTACATTTCTTATCATATATTGAAGACTATCCTTCTTTTAAAGAATTGCTTAGCCATGTTTGTTCAGTTAATTTAACTCGCCATGGTCATTACTTTGGAATTGACGAAGCTCTTGAACGATTTGGAGTTAACTTTATTAAACAAAATATTAGGGAAAACCTATGAATACTGAAGAATTAAAACGGCAAATTTCTTCAGTACAGGATGAAAGAGATCGTTTATTGTTGTTATTATCAGAATACATAGGAGATATAATGATAGCACAAAAAGATAGGATAGTTAAATCACATAAAGAAATGCTATAGAGATTAATTTATGAATTACAAGTTGCCTTTTCTTTGGAGGATCCCCAAACCCATGAGCTGTTTAAATATACAAAAGAGATGAATGAAATGGGTTTTCAACGATTATTTTCATGCTATGATCATGGTGTTTCACGACTTAATTCTATTTTACGGCAAGATGTTTATAAAACTGAAGTAAGGATTATAAAGGGTCGTGGTAAACGTGATGTTAAAACATATAAATTCGAAGATCTTAAAGAATCAATACCAATGCCAGATGATAGTAACAAAAAAAAAAGAGATAAAAGTACAAAACCAGAAGATAATTTAGATATCCATCCAAATAAACGCCAATGTAGACAAACTAATGAAAATGAAAAAAGATTCTTAAACCAATACTTAATTCTGATACATTCTCTGAGGATAAGGCATTAGAAATTTTGAATCAGCTTCTTGATTATGGAGAAGGATGGACATTACAACGAATTCGCAGATATTGGAGCAATAACCGTAATAAGAAAAATTGATAATAAATAAATAATAGGTTTAATAAAAATATTAGATACTGAATAAAAGGTTATATTGTTATTTACAATGCTTTGAATAATCTAGGTTTATTTTAAATATATCAAAATTGAATTGGACAAAAGTGGTCCAATATACAAGACCTATATTTGAACTTAGCATTGTCTATGTTTATCATTAACATTGGTATAATAAAAATTTCAAGTAAAATAACGCTCTATTGTTTTTCAATAATTTCCAGCAAACAATGTGAATACTGTTAAACCTCTTAAAACCAATTCTGTTAAAACTGATGAACTGTCAAATTTGATAACAATTAATCCGCCAAGCCTGTCTCTGCTATATAATTTTAATAGTTATAGCCATAACGACAATTCTAATGTTTTCAAATCAATTTTAATACTGATACAAAGTTTGTTTACTATGCACCAATTCTGTTCCAATAAGAAATATTCAAACGAAATGTTCCAACCCAACAGCGTAACTAATCTCTGCAAATTTTCGATAAGAAATGAATGCTTTATGTCCAACCTTTTCAACATCAATTCCATTCTGACAACAATAACCAACCTTTATATGTTTCAACAGCATTACCATCTCTACAGGTGTTTGATAAGAAACGAGTGTCTTATGATCATCCTTTCCAATTCCAATTCCACAGTATCCAATCTGTCTTTTTAACTTCAATTCCATTCTGATAAAATATCTAACAGTTTTGATAAGAAAATGAATGCCCTATGTCCAACTCTTTCAACTCCAATTCCATTCCAGTAACAATATTCAATACTTATATATTCCAACAGTGTTACCCATCTCCGTAGACTTTCAATAAGAAATGAATTCCCTAAGTCCAACTTTTTAACACCAATTCCATTCTGGTAATAGTATCCAATCTTTATATGTTCAAACAGTATTACCCATCTTTGTAGAGGTTTGATAAGAAATATATGTCTTATGTTCATCCTTTCAATTCCAATTTCACAGTATCCAGTCTGCCTTTTCAACTCCAATTCCATTCT